TGGGTGTGGGGGGGGGTGTGGGGTGTGGGGGTGTGGGGGTGTGGGGTGTGGGGTGGTGGGGGTGGTGGGGGGTGTGGGGGGTGTGGGGGTGTGGGGGTGTGTGGGTGTGTGGGTGTGTGGGTGTGTGGGTGTGTGTGTCTGTGTCTGTGTCTGTGTCTGTGTCTGTGTCTGTGTCTGTGTCTGTGTCTGTGTCTGTGTCTGTGTCTGTGTCTGTGTCTGTTAGCGCGGGCCCTATAAAGGCTAAAAGAAGCCCACGAGGGGCCCAGGCCCCACTGAGGGGCCTAGGCCCCTAGGGGCCATCCCAAGACAGGGGGCGGGCCCCAAGGGACCTCGGGAGCCCAGACGAGCCGCAGAGGGCTGCCTCCAGGGCACATCGGCCCCGAGGCGCCGCTCGGCCAGTCAGCTCAAACCCCCGTCTAGGGGCATCAGCGCGAAGCGCTGGAATATATACAACGGTGCGAACGCGCGACGGGCTAAGCCCCAAACATGCTTGCACCGACCCGAGCGGCACGGCGAGGCACGCGAGGCGCCGGAAACTTCACGCCCACGCGCAGGGGCTCGCGGCCGCCAGGGGTCCAACAGGCAGGGACGCAGGGGGAGGACAGGAGGAGAGCCAAGCAGGCGCTCCACAGCCAGGAGCGCCCAAGGCACGGTTCCTGCGCCCTCGCGCGGTCCGAGCGCCCCGAGGCTGGGGCCAGCGCGGGTTCAGTCACCTCCGTCTCCGACAGCTCTGCGTCGCTTCCTGCCCTGGCTGTCGAGTCGGGCAACTTCGGCCTCCTCGCCCAGCTGAGCAGGCTCTCCTCGCCGCGGCCGTGTGCCTCCAGCCAGGCCTTCCGCGATCCTGCACCCGCCGCGGTGCCACCAGCCGCAGCGGGCCCCTCGGCCGCGGAGGAGGCCGCATCGCCTGCCCCGCCCGCTGTCGCGCCAGCCACCGAGGCGCTGCCAGCGACGCCTGCTGGTGCATCAGGCAGAACTCCAAACCACTTCAAGAGGCGCTCCCTGGCGACCTGCGGCAGCTCTGACTCCTTGCGCAGACGGGGGGCCTCCGCTCCCTTCATCCGCGTGACGCGGGCGTGAGGGTTGCCCCCTGAGTGGAGGCCTCGCTCCCACCGCGACTTCTGGTCATGCAGCGACCTGGGGCGGCTTGTAGGACCAGGACGGCTCACCCTGAGCATGGGCTGCGAGCCTTGACGCCCAACGAGCCTCGCATATGCTCCGCCCCTGGTGCACGCACTCGGCTCCTGCTCGTCGCCGTCTTCGCCGTGCCTGGCGGGCGCGAGGGGGTGGCCAGCGCCTGCGTAGGCCAGGGCCCCAAGTGCGACTCCGCCGTCACTGGCCGCCGAGGCCCCCGCGCCCTCTTCGGCGGGGCTGCAGCCTGCCTGCGCCTTGCGGGTCTCCTCGGCGGCGGGCGTGGCCTCCGACTCGTCCACGGAGGCCGCCCGCATGCCGTCAGCATGCACGTCCTTGGAGGCCCTGCCTTGCAAGGCGATCGAGACCTGCGCGATCCACCTGGAGAGCTCTCCCACGGCCTCCATCGTGCCGAAGATCTCGCGCCTGGCATTGTCGCTGACTCTGTGGAGGGCAGCTCCCGCCTTCGCAAGCTTGTCGGCGCGGGCGTTCTCGAGCCACTGACCTTCCGAGACCCTGCGCTCGCTACCAGCTGCCTCCGAGCAGTGGGCTGCCACCTTGTTCACGATGGACGAGTCGACGTCCAAGGAGGCGTAGCCGACCGACCACAGGTGAGCCCAGGGCTTGCTGGCCGCCGTCGCGTACTTCCAGCCAAGCTTCACGCAGCTGGCACTGGACGCACAGTCGAGGAAGAGCCCGCAGATCGACGGCCCGAGGTCGCGGCCCAGCCTCCAGACCGCGGGGTCCACGACGTCCTGCGCCGTCTGGAAGGGGAACAGGACGAGGCGGGCCGTGCCGTACACCGCCTCCTGCATGTTGCCGAACACGTCGCACTGCACGGTAGTCCAGCCTGCCTTGCGGATGATTTCGAGCTCGGTGTCGAGCGCCGAGCCGCCGAGGAAAGGTCGGCCGCCTAGCAGCCCGTCGGCATCCCTGTTCGCCCTCATGACTGCCATCGCGTCCGACCTCCAGGCCGCCCGTGGCCAGCGGGCGTTGGACAGGTAGCTCTCCGCCGCGGCCTTCTCCCTGCATCTGATCTTGCCCGCGCGGGCCGATGCCTTGGGCAAGCGCGTCCCAGAAAGCGGGCATGGCTGGGGCGGCGCCGTGCCCAAGCTGCGCCATCTCAGCCCTGTCGGGGGCCCTGCGGGCACCTGCCGCCGCAAGCAGACCGTGCTCGCGTGGGCCTATGATCAGCACGCCCAAGGCGTGGCCGTCGCCGGTGTGCACGATGTGGCCAGCTGCCAGGCGCCACCCTATCCGCCGCCGAGAGAGGGCCGAGGCGTCGACGGGGTTCTTGCAATTGACCCAGGGCACTCTGGTGCTGTCGAGCCTGCGCTCGGCCTCCTCCAGGCAGGTCGCAACCAACTCCAAGGGCACCTCGCCCGACTGGCGGAGACTGGCTGCCATCGGCGCCGCGGCGCAGACAAGGGCTGGGCTCGGGTCCAGGTTAGCCGAGCGCAGCATCTCAAACGCCCTGAGCCTCAGCCCCAGGGAGGCTGCCTTGGGAAGCTTCCTTGCCGAGCGCGCTGCCGCCAGGCGCCAGGATTGAAGCTCGCCGTCTGGCACCCCTGCGAGCGTCCTGTCCCACAGGACCTGCCCGTTGCCCCCAGCAGGCCAGCCCAGCTCCTGCAGGGGCTCGAGCTCCATGCTGAGGACGGTATGAAGGCCCCAGGGCAGCTCGAGCGAGAAGACAACCAGGTGCTGGAGGACCAGCTGCGGCCAGTGCTGGTGGGCGTGGCAGCGGGCCTCGATGTCCTCGACGCACCTGTACCAGACGTTGCCATTGCAGCCCAGGCCTTCCAGGCCAGCACGCAGAGGGCATGGCATGCCAGGGCTCGATCCTAGTGTGGGCGGGGGCCCGAGGCGAGCATTGCCTCTGCAGGCCTCCTGCTTCGACCTCCTCGTCCTCTGGCCGCTCGGCACCAAGGCTTCGCTCCACCCGTCGAGGGTCTCGGCCACCCGCTCGCCAGCGGCCTCGACGGGGAGCGCGGGGGAGTGAGGGGCAACGGCCACCCGCCCGCCGGCGGCCCTCAACGTACCCCCACAGCCTGGTGCCGTCCTCGCTGGTGGCCCGCACTGGCGCTGCCTCACCCTCCTGCTGAGGTCTGCACTCGGGCCAGCCGCTGCGACGTCAAACAACCCTGCGGCTCCCAGGAGCAGGGCCAGCAGCAGTCGTCGCCAGCGGCTGGTCGTCGAGGAGGGCCGCTCCCGCGCTGGCAAGGCCCCTGGCCAACGGCTGGGCTGCGGGCCACGCGCCGTGCGCCGCCCCTCGCCGCGCTGCTTGGCCGCGCTCGGCGGCGTCCTGCAGGGGCGGGACCGACGACGCTCTGGTTCGCTCCTCATCGTCTCCATCGGTGTCCTCGTCGGAGACGTCGACGGGGGTGTCCGCCCAGGAGGAGCGACCCTTGGGCTCGGGGGGTGACTGCCTGCGGACCGCTGCGATCTGCGCGGCGACCTCTGCGAAGGCGGCCTCCCCGTTGCCTGCAGCGAACCCTTGCGGCAAGGCCTCGGCCTGCTGGATGAGGCCGAAGACCAACCCAAGCAGGTCCGTGCCAACGAAGGCCGCTCCGACCTCCTGGGCCTGCCTGGCCTCCGCGGCCTTCTGCTCCTCACGGTGGGCCTCGAGAGCAGCTCGGCACTCCTCAACGGCTTCCGCACACGCGGCCTCGCGAGCGACTGCCTCCACGCGCTCGGTGATGGCCGCCGCGTGGGCCTCCTCAGCCTTGAGCAGCGCCTGCTCCTTGGCCCGTCCTTGCCGTCCGAGCTTCCCCAGGGCCTTGCCCGCTCCGTGGAGCGCCTTGGGCAGGGGGGTGTCTGCCTTCTTGCGCTGGGCCTGCGCGACCTCGGCGGCCGAGAGCAGGCGGCGCTCGCGGTCGAGGGCCGCGCGCAGCGACTGCAGGCACGCCTCGTCGATGGCCCCGCACGGGGCGGCAAGGAAGACCTCGATGCGCTTGACCTCCTGGCGGTGCTGCTCCACGGCCGTCGGCTGCGAACTGCTGGCCTCGCTGACGCCCGCCTGGCTGGTGGCCCCAGCGCTGGCAGCGCGCGCGGCAGCACGCATGGCCTGGCGCCTTGCCTTCCTCCCGCGGGGCTGGACGACGAACCCCTGTGCGTCGGCGAAAGGCTGCGCCTGGCCTCCGCCTGCAGCGGGAGGCTGGGCTGCCTTGACCCATGGCGGGGCCACTCGGCCGCAGCTGCGGCACTTCCAGAGCGAGCACCAGTTCCAGTCCTTGCACTGGCCGTTGGAGCAGACCCAGTACGTCCAGCTGCCCTTGGCCTTGCTGCCCGTGACGACGTTGGCCCACGAGCGGCCTCCAGCAGGCGAGCCGTCCGCAACCATGGCAAGGCGAGCCCAGGTGCGTGGCCTCGCGGCCCAAAACTGTGGCCTCGCGGCCGCCCCTCGAAGCTCAGACAAGCACAAGAGAGCTGGTCCAAGGCTGGGAGCCCCTCGCGCTCAGAGCGCCGCGGACGACTTGCGGTCGTCGGGTGCTCCATGGACTTGAGCCAAAATGGCTACGGAAAATGTGTCTGTGTCTGTGTCTGTGTCTGTGTCTGTGTCTGTGTCTGTGTCTGTGTCTGTGTCTGTGTCTGTGTCTGTGTGTGTGCGGCTTCGCGTGTAGCTGTGGGCAAACAGTGCTGCGTGAGGCGGCGAATGAGCATGGTGGCCCTCGTGGGGCAGCTCTATGCTTTCAGGCTTGCGGTCGATCCGTTTTGCCTGGGTGGTGATGGCAGTTTCGTTGTTGGCCTCCACCAGATCCTTTGCAGTTCCCTGTGCTCGAGGCGCACATTTGCGTCGGGGTCCTGCAGCGGGTTTGCCTCATCGCCGTGCACGACATTCGTCAAGACGGGGTGCTCCTCCCCTGCCATCGGGCATGGCCGATGCCAAGGAGCACTGTTGTCGACCACGACCCCTGCCATTGGGCATGCCCGATGCCAAGGAGCACTGTTGTCGACCACCGCTGGCATCCCGGAAGATAGCGAGCACTGCGCTGGGCTGGCTGGACCAAACGAACAATTCCTTGTCGGTTGGGCTTGTTCTGGCGCGCCAATCTTGTGGTTTGCAGAGCGGAGGGATGAAGATAGAGAGAAGGGAGAAGAAAATGGAGGAGGAGATAGAGGAGGAGGTTGGGTCGAGGTTGGGGTGGAGGAGGCGAAGGTGGAGGAAGAGGCGCAGGCGGTGCAGGACGTGGCAGCAGGAGCAGGAGGAGGGGGAGGGAGGCGGGCCCCGGTGATGCGGAGGTGGCGGGCGGCGGTGCAGGAGCAGGAGCAGGAGCAGCGACGACGACGACGAAGACGACGACGACGACGACGACGGCGGCGGCGGCGGCGACGGCGACGACGACGACGACGACGACGACGACGACGACGACGACGACGACGGCGACGACGACGACGACGGCGACGACGACGACGACGGCGACGACGACGACGACGAGCCGCGGCGCACGCGCCCGCCAGGCCGAGGCCCCGCCCGCGGAGCCCGCGGCGCCCGCGGGCGCCCCCCCGCCGGCCGAGGAAGGCCCGGCGCCGCCTCGGGCCCCACCCGCCGTCGCGGAGGGCGCCGCGGAGGCCGCCGCCGAGGCCGCCGCGGAGGGCGCCGCCGAGGGCGCCGCCGAGGGCGCCGCCGAGGGCGCCGCTTGAAGTCGGGCGTGTCCCTCTACAAGGGGAATGTTCAAAACTAGTCCAAAAATTTCAAGGGGAATATTCAAAAACCTAGTCCAAAAATGGAGCATTCCTGCAGAATGTTGGAAGAGATCTTGACAGTTCCGCCCCAAATCCGCCTGTATGGGGGACATGCCCGACCTGAGGCGCCTCCGAGGGCGCAGCCGAGGGCGCCGCGCGGGAGCTCGGCCAGATCACGGTGTCGGAGCGCGAGCTGCCCAGCTCCGGGGCCGAGCTCGGCCACATCACGGTCTGCGGCTGCACGTCGGGGAGCGAGCTCGGGCGAGTGCAGTGGAGACCCATGCCAGGGAACCCCTTGCGTGCCTCCAGGGTGCCCCGGGTTTCTTGGGTTTCGATGGGTTTGCGCTGGGGAGCGCGGCGTTCCCACACCCAGAAAGGGATGGACGTCCCTGAATGGGGTCTCGGGGTTGGGCTTCTCGTGGACGGTTTCTTGTGGACTGGCCTCCACTGTATTTCTTGCCGCGGCCGAGCAACGCAAGGGCAGGCGGGCTGGGCCAGCAGATGCTCGTTGCCCCTTCCGTCTGGGTCGGGCGTTGCGGCCCGCGGGCCCGCAGCTCACGAGTCTCGGCGACCCGTCTGCGGCAGCCCGCGTGCTGCACCCAAACAGGAGGCCCAGGGACCGCGAGAGCTCGGAGGCCCGTGCGGATTTATTGGATCGGCGCTGGACCCACCTCCTGGCGCGCGCGGAGCGAGGCGCCGCCATGGAGCCCCAGCGCCGATCCGAGGAATCCACGCGGACCGCCGAGTTGTTGTGTTTATGCCATGGTTTGTCCCCCTAGCATGAAGTCGGGACCGTCCCTCTACAGGGAGGATACTCAAAAAGAGGCAAACAAATAGGCAGGGGACGATGTTTGTTGATTATTTGTTTGACACCTTGTCGTCCAAAATCCCCCTGTAGGAGGACACTCAG